AGGCTTTATTTATATATATTTTTTGAGTAGCCTATAGCACTTGTTTACAACATTTACAGATTTTCAGAATTACAATTTTCTTGATAATAAAAACTACACATTATTCCTTAAATACCGCTCTATAAATGTAATTTTTTTTTAGAGTGAACTTGTCGAGACTCATCACTAGATGGCGACAGTGTCTTTCACATGATTTTGGTTATGGTAATGAACTGATTTATTCTCAATAAAATTAAATTAAGCTTTGTATGTTCAAATAGAGACCAAAATATACATAATGACACAGATTTTCAAACTTAAACATTCTTTATTTTAAACGGGTGACCAAGAAATATAGAGGAGGAATGAACTGTAAACACATGAGTACATGGGAGCTGTCCCAAATTCAGTTTCTGCATGATGGCATGTGTACAGGCTCACTGAAATTAATTGTGCTTATTTAGACATCCGCATGTCAGTGCAAAAGGGTCAAAGGCTTCAAAAACTGTCCACCGGAAGCAACCCTGTTTTGTCCCTGGATGCTTGTTGTGGTGGCCAGCTGTTAAAAAACTGTGATGCATTTATGTGTCTGTGTTGCTCTTATTCTCTATTGGTGCTGTATTTGCTGACTGGGCTGCCCTGGGCCTGTGAGTAAGGTCTGGCCGGCCTAGTGACTGTGCTGGGCCCTGAATGGAGGCCCCCAGGCGGAACAGAATCAGCCCATGTGAGGATGATCACCTCTGACAGGACGTGTGGGGACTTGCGCAGAAATAATCAGGGACAAATAAAAGCTGTGTCTAGCAAACGCTGACCTGCATGGAACTCGCCACCAGCTGAGGATTACGAGCGAGGTGTGTGAGTGTGTCTGTCTGCTGTCCATAATCATAGTATCTGCACGGCCTGAAGCAAAAAATCACAAAGGGTTAAAGTATTCCAAATGAAATCACAAGAGAACACCAAAACACTTGAATTTATTGTCTTATACTTGAACTTTGTTACTATTGTGATTGTGTCAGGAGTCTGTGCAATGTCTGTTCAGGGAGGATGGAGGCAATAAGTGACTCAAAACCTTTGCTGACCGTGTCATACATTGTAACAAATGACCTGCGCAATTAAGGAACTTTTAAATGTTAAATGCCAATTTTGGTGCATCATTTCCTGGTTAATTGTCCTAAAGAAACCCCTACCATTACAAGCCTGTAGAGGCAACATAGAGGAATTAAATAGAGGAATCAACTTTCCTGCATGTACTGTAAGAACAACACAAACCCTCTCAATCTTCAACTGTAGACTCAAAACTCACTAAAAGGTATTTACTAAAATAAAAGGTATTTTAATTTAAATCAAATGCATATGCATGTTATATTTTGGCATAATGGCCAAAACATGAGCAGCCTAAATGATTTCAAGGCTAAGGTCCTTCATCCTGCAGTGATATGCCTATGTCTTTGCTTTGCTGACTTGGTGTCATATAATCTCATATCTCTGTAAAGTCTTACTCTTCGTAGTCTAAATGCCCTGATTTCAGCATTGATGTTAAGAGACCTTAAGAAGAAAATGTGATGACAGCATGCTGACTCAGAGTTCAGGAAATCATGTGATGCACTCACCCGAGATTTAACCTCAAAGATGTACACGATATTTAGACACACAATATTTACTTTAGAAATGTCCTATATCACTTTATAAGGGTTATTGCTGGGATTCTGTAATATTTCAGTCCCCCAGAGGGAAAAAAATGGGTCACCAAAATGAATTGTTAGAAGTTTTTCACAGTACTTTGGTATGCCCATTATAATGAATAAAATTATTGCATTTTAATATTTTTTAGCATAAAATAATGTCTTAAATCTATTTTAAACCAAGCATTTTGTCATGTCCCTGAGTCACTTCACTGAGTTTGTACTTTTTGTTTGTACAAAATTATTAACAAAATGTGCATAGTGTCTATGATTTTTGGCAATAATGTAAGCATTTATTTGTGTTCGTTTCTTGTGAAAAATATTTTTCTAAAAAAAAAAAAGCCAGATATTTCATTTAAAAAAAAAAACAGCCTCTAAAGTTATGTCCCTCAGTTTGAACTCAACCCCGTCACACTAACCATTCTTCGCCCATAATAATTTAGAATCCACTCATATGTGACATTATTTACCAAAAAATACATAATTCAGGTCCCTTTAATAGTGGTGCAGAAAATGGTTAGTAGTATTATACCTTTTATTCATATTTTTGTATTATATGTAATATATATTATATTATATAACATATTTATATATTATAGTCAGGGAGGGTATTGTCAAGCTTAACAACTCAACCCTGTCACATAAAAATGATTTGGAAAATGGTTGTTTTTCAATATTTTATTTTAATCCATAAGTATATACAGTGCACTTATTTTATTGGTGCCATATATGGTCTGCTCTCCTACACTACATGAGGAGCAGTGGCTATTTTGAGTGAAAAACCTCAACCCCGTCACACTCAACCTTGTCACAGATATATATATTTCTCATTGTTACTGGTTGTTAAACTTGTGACAGGGTTGAGTTATTCACTTCATTTATTAATAATTTTAATTTGAAAAAATATGAATGAGTCATTGTTTCAATAAATATTACCAAAATCATGACAACTCATATTTTTATTATAAATAGAATATTTGATTTTAAATTTTGACTATATCATACATTAGAAATTGCACCCACATTTGCAGCAGAAAGACAATGTTGGCCATGCAGATATTTTGACCCAGAAAGAAAGGGACAATAAGAGCGAGAAACAAAACCGAAAATAAAATTTGAAGGAAATGTATCCCTTCAAATGTGTTACAGTCATCAACCCCGTCACACGTTGTCACATTAATATTTTTTTAAAGAAAAAAAAATAGGGAAGACAATTGAGAATGAAAGCATTTCTTGCTGATTACCATCTGACATGGACTAAAACAATAAAATTGTGGTTTTAGTTAAACTTCTAAATTAAAAATATTTTTTACAAAAATAAAGAGAACAGACACACAATTTGTTTGTTTTTAGCTTCAGTCGTATAAAAATGTGAAAATTCTGAAATTTTTTTACATTTGTTATCATTAAATTGTTATGAGGGACACATGAGCACTAGGTAGATGTTTGTTTTATAACAAGTTATGTGTAAAATCCTTTTAAAGCAATTTTAAACCAATCCCGTTACGGGGTTGAGAAAAAAGGTGTTTAAATCTGAAAAAAAAAAAAACTGAAAATAATAAAAGGTCTTTAATGCCTGAGGTGGGAAAATATTATTTTTTAAAGGTTTGATCTGTGCCTAATGATGTGGGGTATTTAGAAAATGAATCATATGTAGTTGAACAAAATGTATATTCCAAGTTGAAATGTTACCAAATCCCAGGAATGACCCATAACACTTAAAAAAAGACAAAGTATGTCCTGATAAACAGTTTTGTGTTAAAAAGTACAAAGAATCCATGTATTTTTTTGTTTTTGTTTGATTTGTTTTGCTTTGCTTTACTTTGCATTGATTTGTTTATCTCAATTATTATGACTTAAAAGTGTTTAATGACATCTCACCATATATCAAACAAAGGAAAACAAATCTAAAAAAGTTTAAAAAAAAAAATCAGGTTCCTTTACTTCCTTTAATGTTAACTGCTTACGTACTTGTGTACCTTAACTGAGAACTAAGAACACGCAAATCCTTTTTTCATAAGATTTGTGGCCATTTGTTGACACAGAGACCCCATTAAGTTAATTATGTCAGCTTCCCAACATTTCAGAGGTGAGCACTGATGTGAGGGGCCTGGCGTCATGCGGTCAGAGCTCATACACCTCCCACCTCCTCCCTTTCTGTGACCCATTCAGAGCACCTCTCAGCCCTATATGTGGCCCTTTCTGTCTGATCACACGAGCCACTTCCCCCTCAGCTTTTCTAGATCAAAAGTTAGCCGTGGGAAAAGACATAAAGCATTCCAGAACATCTGACCCATTGAAAATGTTTGTTTGCTATACTTGCAGCTGTGAAGACAAAGCCTATAAGCGGCCGTCACTTCAAAGTTGCTTTGTATTCCACATTTAGACAATGTATTGAGCACTGAGCAACAATCGCAATGGGTTAAATTTGTCATTCTTAAAATAGCATTGATCTGAGGCGTGACTTGGTGGTGATATCTTGGTGAACTTCAGCTAAGTTCCCCCCAATCCTGTTTGGTGTTTCAAATCAATCTCAATCCTTGAGGTTTCAGGGGTTAAATACAAGTACATTCGTAAGTGGTTTGTTTACAAGCAGTAAGAA